GCTCGGCACAGAAAAGCCGTATGTATCACACAAGATTTGTGGATTAAATGTGTTAACTGCTCTAAAAGAAAAACATTTTTAACTCTTTTGAAGGAAAAAAGATCAATTTTTTTAAAACTCTGCAGGGGCCAATCATTTACATTAGTTCAACCTGTCACAAATATCTATCTCAAGTTTAAGTTTAAAATGCAGAATTTGAGAGGGTGATACTTTCAATTTTAAATATCACTGTGTGAGTTTCCTTTCTCTTCCCCCAAGCACATTTTATTATTATAAATGGGGATGAGGGGGGGGGAAATCAGTCAAACTTTTTTAGGGGAGAGCTTATTATGATACGGAGAAAGTTTCATCACAGAATGCCCTGTCCCGGTCTTTAGTGCAAACACACATACGCACACCCCTACATGTGACAGCTAACAAGACTCACAGTCCACTTGACAGAGATGCAAACCTGCAACAAAGTAAGATGCTAAGTTCCTGAAAAGGAGAGAGAAACCAGCATCATTGGCATCAAATTATAAACTGTAACTAGGTAACTTTTATTTTTTCACTTCTAAAATAATTTTTTTTTTATCAACACTGACAGCCTGATACAGATCACAACCCAATCCTCGAAACAAGTAGTTTTAAAAAGGCGGCTTCATGCCCCATGCTCCCAACAGCACTGCGCACAGCCTGGGTGCGCACACACACGCACACGAAGCACACACGCTCCTACGCAGACACTCCTCAGCTTACACCTGCTCTGAAGCAGTAGGAAGTGAATTCTCAATCTGTCAACATGACCATCTGGTCGGGCTGCGATCACGGCTTTCTCTGTTACTCTATGAAGGAATGGCGATCCCCACGCCAGAACACAACTCCAGTGCACCTGAACAGTCTTGGGTGAGACGGAAGGCGGTGTGGCCTAGCGGTGCGAGGCTGGCAGGAACGTAAATAATTTTAAATGAGCATTCCTGACAGCAAAATTAAGTCTACAATATGGCACAGGTAATGAGGTCATCAGTAATACTGTCGCTCAGGCTGCCAGGACAAGTACGAGGTTTGCCTTCTCAGCCAGACCAACGGCTCTTTCAGTGAGCAACCAAGACTTTCTGCTACGCCTGTTCCCGGCCCAATCAAGTAGAGATAGTAACCGGGGTGGAAGCACAAGCAGCCAGTGAGCACTGTACTGAAATCCGCATCACTGTGCAAAGGTGTGTACGTCCTACTCTAAAACCAACAAATACTTATATACCACTACAAGGACTCCTTCCGTTTGCTGTCACTGACAATGAACGGTAATTACCTGGCCCATTTTGGTCATTTCTTTCTCTTTCAAAGTGAACTTTACTTCTGCTAAAAATATTTCCAATCTCAGAAAATTCTTCGCCCAGGAAAAGTGAAGATGCTCCTTGTCATCTCACTCCTGGGCCTAGCACCACTGGAAAGTGAGCAAGGACCTGAGCTGAATGAAACATAATTTCATTTATTTGGTTTTGGTTTCTAAGTATCTCCACACAGCTGTTTCAAAGGATTCATTCTCAGGACCCTCCTGCCCAACCCAAGAAAAAACAGGTAATAGCTCTCAAAAATCATGGCACTGTCACTCTGTGACCCAGACACAGCAATTGACATCTTTCTGCCCAGGAGGGGAGTCCTTACAGAGTCTTACAAAATTTAAGTAACTCAGCTCAGAATCTTTCGAAAATCTGATTACATAACCAGAAGTTATATAGCAGCAGTTTTAAAAAAGAATGAAAGGGGGAAAAAAACTCGACAGAAAGTTCTCGGTTGAGTGCCTACTAATGAACAAAGGTTAACTTTATCTAAAAGGTCAAATGCCTGGTGGCTAAGGTTATGACCCTAACAACTTAAATTGTGACCTAGCCACGTGCCGGGTATATTGTAGATTCTGATACAGATCATCTGGTAAAGACTGGTCATAAATTAGCTTTACTGTTACACGCCCCCCCCCAAAAAAAATTGTCACAATACCGTATTCTCAAAGTTGTCATATGATACACCGGAAGAACAACTAAAATAGAGACCCAACGAAGGACATAAAAATGGTTTGACTCTTTTATACTTTTAACGAGATGAAATGCTCAGGCTTATGGAATCAGTCCGATTTCATTCCACTTGCTACTGTTGCTCTGCCGCAAAAATTCACAGTTCTAATGCCACTGGATTTAGAGCGGGGGGAAATCCGAATGTAGTTTATGCATTATAGAGCAGCATCTCGATAGGTCTTAAAATAAATCACCACCTTTGCTTTTAAAACATGACTGATTCGGCTTTAGCTGCCAGTATTGGCATGTGTGTGTTAAGAATTCAACTTCCAAGGAAGAGGCCGAAGCATGAAGCAATAATTACTATACAGTTTTTTTGTTTGTTTTTTAAAGAGAAAAAAACAACTCTTTTTTTTTAACACAGCTATGTGGGAAAATCATTTTGGAAGAAAAAAAATCGATAACATTTTAAAGATGATGGGGCAGGGGGAGACGGAGAGACATAGGTG